CCTCCTGCACGGTGTCCCTGAATAACTGGGGAGAAGGAGGCAATTGGTTCTGCTGCTCCACCCCCAGAGGAGGCCCGGGGCCCAGACAGGGCAGAGCTGCCTAGGGATATAGAGCAGAGCAGGCAGGGCTCAAAGCCTCCTTCCTCTGGTGTGTGAGTCCCCGGGGCTCAGAGGTCCAGGGGCAGAGAGTCTTGGTACACGCTCTGCCCTACAAGGAGGTTGTAGGGAGATTTTAAAAGTGTCTCTAGGGCCTCCTGGCATGCAAGGGAGAGAAAGCAGGAGGAGCCATCTCAAGCTGTTGGGTCAGCAGCCAAGTGGGCAGGGCTGTGGCCCTGTCAGCTCTTCAGGCCACGTCTGTCCGTCAATCCACAACAATGCCTCCTGGGCTCCCGTCTGGCCAGGACAAGATCAGCCTCATCCATGAGACCTGGTGCGGGGCCCTCCGCCCCCACTGGACAAGACCCATCTGTGTGGGCAGCAGCAGGAGGAGGACACGCCAAGTCAGGCCAGGGTATGGGCGAGGGGTCTGGCGGCAGATATGTTGGGCACCCACCCACACACTCTGAGGTCACAGCCCTGACCTTCCTGGGCCTTGGGGTCCTGGGACTGGAGCTGCCAAGGGGACCTTCCTCACAGGACTGCCACGTGGAGAGGTGAGGGAGCGTGGTTTGGGGAAGGCTTGAAAAGGTGCAGCAGAGGCCGGAGCAACCCCCGCCCCCTCCGCCACTGGGTCCCAGCTAAGAACGAGGTCCTCATCATCTTTGGGGACGTCTGGTTCCCCATCTGTTGACTGGACACCAGACAAGGCCAGATATGAGTCATGTGAGGTCCGGCAGGGAAACCAAGGCCCTGTCTTTCTCACTCAGGCCACAGAGTCAGCCCGGCCCATGCAGAACTCTCTGCGACCAGGCCCTGCACTGCCCGAATTTCCCCGAACTGTCCATGCACCACAGCTCTGAGAGGTGCAGGAGGGACAGAAACTAGTGAGCATGCTGTCTGGCTTCCTGGGGGCTCTCGGCTCTCCCAGCCCAGGTTCACCCCACCCCCATGACCACCAAACTCCCTCTAAAGACCAGCCAGCTAACCATGTCCCTCAGACCCCCTCAAAGTTCCCTCTGCCCCACCATGGCCCATGGCCTAGAGGCCCGACCCACACTTCCAGCCTCCAGCCCACACTTCCCACGCCCCTTGTGTCCCAGACTCAGGCCAGACACAGCTACATCCCGCAAAGACGCCTTCAAAGTGTTCTGAGTTAGACTTGGGGGCCGGCTGGCTCCAATCCAGGCTCTGCAACCCCTACATGGGCCAACGTAGCCTATGCCTCGGTCGCACGGTTTGTACTGTGAGCATCCTAACCCCCTCACCTCTCAGGTGAGGTCGAGGTCAAGGTCAAATGAGGGCAACTGCACTTGGCACACCGAGAGTGACCAGCTGCGAGTTCCCCTTCATTTCCACCAAGAAGCCCCCCTGCGTGACCTCCGGCCGGGGAGACCACCTCTGGTCCCCTTGGCACAAAACTTGCCACGTCGCTCCCGTGGCCTGCTGGCACACAGAAGGCAGGCGCGGCCTGCAGACTGAGCTCTGGACCCATGGCGCAGGCTCCCATCATCTATCAAGTGATGACAGCTCAGTCATGGGCACTGATCTGGCTGCTGGAGGGGACAGCAGCTGACAGACCCGGGTCCTGGCCAGACGGACAGTCTGGTGGCAAAGGCAACATGGAACGAACGAATGAACAAGAAAGTCTGTGTAGAGTAATGGGTCCATAGCAGGCCCCGTGCATAGCGCCCCACTCCCACCCCTGCCCCCAGAGATGAATGGAGACCAGGAGGCGGAAGCAGGAGGGAGCAGGGAGGGGTTGCTTCAAATGGGTACAGAGCTTCTTGTTTCGGGGGGCGATGCAAAGTTCTGGGGATTCACGGGGGTGATGCCTGTACAACAGCGGTTTTAAGGAATGTCGAAGAAACATACCCCCCTAAGACGGCACATTTTGGATTACGATATATTTCACCCCAATCCATTTTTTTTTAATGTCAAATATTTGGCAAAGGGTGAGACGGAGAAAGCGCTTGCAAAAGAGACCCACGAAGCAGGGGGTTCACAGGGAGGTCTGGTGGGGTCTGCGGCAGAGAAAGCTGGCCTGGGCCCTTGGATGTCTGGGTGAAGACCAGGAAGAAGGGGAGAGAATGGGAGGCAGAGGGCCACCTGGCAGCAGCAGCAGGAAGTCCCAGGGGAGGGGAGGAGGCGGGCAGAGCAGCGCAGGAGGCCCTGGAACCCAGCTCCAGCCCCAGCCCTGGGAGCAGCTTCCATCTCTCTCAGCACTGAGTGGTTACCGTAGGAGGTGAGAATAAAGACACGCTGCTGTAGTTACAGTCTGAAGAGGGGCTGACCTTAATTAGCACACCCTTAATTAAGCTGCTCACAGGAAGGGCCCAATGGTTAGTGAGTCTCCTTGACTGAGGCGTAAATATTCTCCTGGTCACTCTACCGCCCAACAGGTGATGTCTGGACAGAGGCTGGATTCCCCTGGCTGCTCCCAGGGGCATGCAAAGCAGACCTCCAGGGGCAGGAGGGTCCAGGGGTCAGGGGAGGGGGCAAGTCCATCCTGGCTTGGCGTGAGGCATCCTGGGGAAGGGGAACTGCTCACAGGAAATAGCCATTTGACGTTGGTCAGGTTCCGGTGCCTCTCAGAGCCTTGGCTTTCTCCTCCGTAAAATGGATCAACACGGCCTTTAGGGCAGCCAGTGAGACTCAGCGAGCAGCTGGGCACGAGAAAGCTTTGGAGCCAAACAGGGCAGTGCCGAGGTCGGCTCTGCAGGAGTTAAAAGCCCAGCGGAAACCCAGAGGAAGCCCAGAGGGACTCAAGTCCCCATCACCTTTCCACAGGTATGCGCTGTCAACAGCAGTGTGTGCGCAGATGTGTGGATGGACAAGGGGCCTGGGCTGCTGACACAGTGGGCAGACGTGAACAGATGACGTACCACCCAGCAAAGCCTGCTCGGGGGCTCAAAGTCCTCCTGTAAAAACAGAGCCAACGGCACCTCTCAGGGCCCCCTCTCCCAACCCAGCCCTTTGGAATCTCAACATCACTTTGCACTTTTCTGAGCTAGAGAACAATGACATAGGGGGGCAGGGCCTGGGTCCCCAACAACCATGTCCTGCCCAGCCCCTCTTCCAGGCAAGCAGGCAAGGGAGGTGTAGTCCCTGGGCTGGCAGCCCTGTCAGAGCCCTAAGCCAGTAGTAGGTTCCTGGGCTCCTGGAAGCCAGATTCTCCAGGGAGGGGTGCTGGGATCTGCCCCTGGTGTCTCTGGCACAACCCCCATCAGAGGAGCTTAGGCAAGGCTGCCCCGGTCAGCTTGGACAGCACCTGCAGCTAGACATGAGCATCTAAGAGAATCCGAATGCTCCATCGAGCCCGCCCCCAGACTCAGGCAATCAGAACCTGGGGACTGCAGTGTAGATGCTGGACTGAGACACCCTCCACCCCGCCCCACCCCTGGGCTGGGACACTCCATGGTTCCAGAAGTATCTTGCCGGGCCTCAGTTTCCCCACCAGACAAGGCTGCCAGGAGAAATGCATTACCCAGCAGCAGGGGTGTGCTGGCCAAGTGTTAAAACACAGGCTGCCACGCTGGATCCTCACGGCACCCCCTTCCCCATGAGGGTTCTGCAGACCCTGAGAGTCGAGCCTCTCTGACAGCAGGCTCCTGGCTGGGCAAAGGCGTGGTAGGAAGAAGACAGCAACCCTGTCTGGGAAAGCCTCTTACCAGAAACAGCCTGGGGAGTTCAATGCCAGGAAAGGATTTCCTATTTGTTTCCAAAAATACAGCCAGGGCCTTGTCACCAGGAGTGAGCACCACGGCGCACTCTGCTCACCAGAGCAAACCAACCCGTGGGCCCTTCGGTGAAGCAGGCGAACACACCACCACTGGCCGTGCCTCCGAGGCCACCCTGCTCACCCACAGGCTCCCATCTGGGGCTGCTGACGCGGCAAGAGGTCTGTTTACTTTCCTCCATGCTCCAGCAGACAGGAACTGCCCCTCAATGGAGGGGGTGCGGGGTCTCCAAAGGCCCTTATCACAGTTCAGGGGCTCCATCTGGCATTTGGCCAGATGGCCCCCGACTGGCCCAGCCCTGCTCCCTGATCACTTAAATTAAGAGGCCCCTGAGCAGCTCCACCCAACGCAGGCATCGGGCAAGGTGCTTAGAGCAGGTGGAGGAAGCGTGGAGCTGGGCATCAACGCCATCCGTCTGAGGGGAGGGAGGATCCCGTTGAGCAAAGGTCACCAACCCCAGAATAGCACACTGCACAGCCCCAGAAAGTATCGAAGGAAGCTGGTAGTCTAGTACCACTGCCTCCCCCCACCCCACCCCCCGCCCCAACACCACTCCCCCGGGGAAGCCTGGCTGAATGAGGCCCAGCTTCAGTTTCCATAAATACCCCGGCTTCATGATGTCACCGCCCCATGCAGACGGGAGCAGCCGCTGGCGCTGGGTCCAACAGACAGGCGCCCTGCCATCAGCCCACACAGAACACCTGGGTGCCACATCGGACACTGTTGCCCTCTGCCCTCCTGCCTCGAGGACATATCACCCTGCCCACCACATCGGCCTGTCTGCCAGCTCTCTATCAGCAAGGCCCAAGTGCCAGTCACTGCCGGGCTGGGCACCACAACGGTCTCTAAACAGACACACTGTGGACGATGCCCACTGCCAAAATGGTAGCGCTGAGGACCCCGTAGATGGAGGGGGCACTTGTCCCCCAGAGGTAGGGATTTCACCACCTAGAGAGATCTGCTGACTAATAGTCTCCCCCTCGTCACCACTGACAACCCCTCTCAGCAGGAAGACAAATGCCTGTCATGCCTGCCTGGGGGCTAGCTGGGCACTGCCAGCCGTCTGGGCACCCTGACCCTCCCCCTATGCCAGCTACAAGCCCCATTCGGTTAGGGGTCCCTCTGACCTCTAGTCCTAGGTATAAACTTGCTACGTATACTCACAAATAGCGTCTTCTGCAAGCCATCCTGCCTGGGGGAAGTTTTTCTTGCTTGCTCCCTCTTGGTCCCCAGCTAGGGAGGATCTAGCCGGAGGAGCAGAAAACTCCCGAAGTGGAAGGGGATGCAAGGAATACAATGACACAGGGAGTCACATTCCTGGGGCTGGCGAGGGCATCCACGGAGGCTGGGGAAGGAGCAGGCAGAGGGTGGCAGCGGGGAGCCCTCGGCATAGGGGCTCACACCGTGCCCAGGGGCCTGCGAGGAAGTAGAGCCACCATAGTCACCAGCCCTGGCCAGGGCATCTGCCTTGCTGCTCTCTGAGACCACCTCAGGATTTTTCCTGTCTGTACATCCGGGATGAAGGGTACAGGGAGGAAGAGGGAAGGGGTAGGTGGGAATCTGTGCCTGGTTTGCTGGTTTGCTCTCACAGCATCCGGAGGAGGAGCGGGCACAGGGAGCCTCCCCAAGCTCTCTAAGAGCAACGTAGTGCGGCCGCGCTGGACCAATCGTCGAGGAGGTGCTCGTCACCATGGCAACTGCAGCATCAGGTGCGGTCGGTGGCTAGGCTACCGCGCAGCATCCATCCTCTCAGCGGAGCCACACACAGTCACCAAAGAGTGCTGGGTGCCAGAGGGCGGGAAGGCGGACAGAGGGCGCCACGGCCACCTGCCCCCCCTTCCTGCCAGGCTTTAGAAACTGGAAATCTGTTGCTAAAATAGGTGCGTTGTCCTGAGACTGCAGTGGCTTGTGTGCTGTTGGCCACAAAGCATTTGAACCACTGAGTGCACAAGCCCGGGCCCTGGGCTCAGACCCACCTGTCCCAGGCCTGGCTTTGTCACCTAAGGTCCCTGAGACCTTGGACAGACAGCTCCCTTCCTGAGCTTGGGTGGACAGTCCCATAAAATGGGAACGGTGTCCTTAACAGCCATGCCACAGAGCCACTGCACACAGTTATCTGTTGGTTGGCCAGGCCCTGAAGGGAGTGGGGCCGGAGCGAGGGAGAATCTCTTGTTTCGCTGTGGTGCCCACTCATCCATTCACTCATTCAACACCTGAGCGCCTTCTGTGTGCCAAGGACTGCTTCGGCTCTGCTCGCACCAGGCTCACGTTCCAGGGGAGGACAGAAACGATATGTCATCAGATATAGACGCACGGCAGTCACAATAAGGGATGAGAGAGGCGGGGAGGAAGGAAAAAAGAGGGAGAACATGGGTGGTCAGGAAAAGGCTTCCCAAAGGGCACACGTGGGTTAAGACGCGAATCATGGAAGATATAGAGGAGATCACTGAGGCAGGGACACGAGAGGGTCAAGGTCCTGAGGGAGACAAATCTTTGTGTATTTGAGCAACAGTCTGGAGATGGGTGTGGCCACGGTGGGTTTGCCTCAGGGGCAGTGAAACTGAGAAGGATGTCTCACCATCCTCCCCTCCCATTCCTTTCTGTCACACACAGATCTCTCTCTCTCTCTGCTGCCAAACTGACCAAGAGGCCTCTACAGAGATACATGCCTATCTTTGTGTACACGTCAGCTTACTGTCAACAAGCCATTTCTTCTCTTAGCCCCCCTAAAGGACATGGTAGAATTGCCCCCAAGAGGTTTCGGAGGCTGTAAATCTTTATGGAAGGAGGCAGCCTCATTTTCCTCCTGTGGAGAAGCTGGTGGATTTGAACCGTCGACCCTTCAGTTAGCAGCCTAGTGTTTATCACCCCCTGCTCCACCAGGACTCCTGTACACACACACACACACACACACACACACACACACGTAGATATATGTATAGTATTGACAATACCTTATGCAATATATAATATCATGTATTATCAACATCGTCGGGGACGTTAGGTGCCATCCAGTCAGTTTCCACTCATGGTGACCTTACAAACAACTGAAGGAAACCCTGTCCAGTCCCTCCCGGGCCAGCCACACAGTTGTTCTCATGTTTGAGCCCATGCTTGCAGCCACCATGTCAGCCCATCTCCTCTTTGTCACTGCCCCTCCGGTCTCTCCTGACAGCCCATCCAAAGGATGTGAGATAAGTCTTAACCCTCCTTGCATCTGAGCAGCCCTCGGGCTGCTTCTTCCGAGACAGCCTGGTTTGTTCTTTCTGCAGGCCACGGTACTCTCAATAGGACCAGCACCACAGGCATAAGAAGAGATGGAAAACACTGGCTTACAGCTCTGCCTCGGGGGTATGTGACGCCTCCCCCCGCCCGCCCCCCGCCCCCAGCACCTCAATCTCAGAGGATCGATGCTCCCACTTTACAGAGGAGGAAAGGAAATGGGGGAGAGAACTGCCTGGGGCTGCAGAGCCACCCCACAGTCCCTTCCTGGGGTACCCCTTCTGCTCCACAGAGTTGCCCTGGGGGCCCAGGAGCCCCACCTGCACCTCCATTGCTTCTTGTAATCCTAAAGTACAAGGGAACAAAAGATGTAAACATTGATTCTGTTGTATTTTATATGATTTCCAAATAGGCCAAGTGGCAAAGACCACATCATGACCGACAGCACACTGGACAGAGCTCACAAAGCCCTGGTCTCCTCTGAATGCTGACACTCAGTGTCCAGCACAGGGAAGACCGAGTCCTGTTGGAGCTGAGACCCCCCCAACTCTGGTCCCTGACTTCAGCACATGCACACATCCCTTTAGGAAGTGACAGAGGTGACCAGCCAAGGAACTGCCATGACATCACAACCTGAGTATCACCACCACCAGCCAGAGACTAGGATGCACTAGCCCCACTTCCCCGATGTAACCCCCAAGGGGTCAGGGGGTCCAAGGGCACACAGGAAGTGATGCTGTCGGGGTTGGAGAGGTCTTTCTGATTTCCCTCCCAGCCACCCCCCAATAAGGCTTTGGCTGCCGTCAGATTCCAGAGATGGGGAGAGGGTTCCGACAGCCTGACAACTGTTGTCACCTGACCCGGTCACAGGCTCACCCACCACCACCCCTGACGGCCTGGGCTGGGGGCCAGCAGGAACCCAAGGGGCTGAGGTAGTCCACTGACAGCCCCAAATCCCACAGTCATGCCCCACATGCTCTTAATATGTCCATGCTCGGCCCTGCCAGCCCTGGGAAGTCACCTGGATTCCGAGGAGAAAGCGGCTGCCCAAAGGTGAGCCATGAACATGCTACATGAGGATTCCTCCCCATCACACCCACTGGGACGTCCCAGCCTGCAGGGAGTCAGGCAGAGACAAGCACACAGAGAGCAGTACACGCTTGCACCTGCAGCCCCGGTGCCCGAGAGGAATGAAGCTGGCCAGTTGATGGGAACCCAGAGCACACTGTCAACAGAGACGGCAGGCTGGGGGCCGTGGAGCCCCAAGAATAGCACGTCGTCCTCTGGGGGCCTCCTGCCCCGAGGCCAGCGCTGCAAACCGTCAACTGCTCTCCCTGGGAACTGTAGAAGCACACACGTTTTGGATCCTCCAAACCTCACAATGCCAGAATCTCCCCATTCCCGGAGTCTGTTTCCTTGTTGCTTCAACGTTCTACCTGGAAGCGGGATCTTCATGTTACAAATAACACGGAAATCCATTCTTCTTAAAAGAACCGATGTCCCTTCTGACCAAGTGACGTCGCGGTTACGTGCTGGGCTGCTAACCTGACAGTGGGCAGTTTGAATCCACCGGCAGCTCCTCAGGAGGAAGATGAGGCTTTCTGCTGCAGCCCTGGAAACCCACAGGGGCAGCTCTACCCTGTCCTATACAGTCGCTACGAACCAGAATCCTCTCAATGGCAGGGAGGTTTATTTTTCCTGTTGACCCCAATCCCACTCCCCTTTCCCATTTCTGCAGAGGAAGCGGATGTTACCTGCCTGGAATGCATCTTTCCAGAACAGCTCCTATGCGTTACACCATGCATCTGACCCAGGCAGCCCGATAGTTCTTTCTGCAGAGCCAAGGAGAAAGCCCACCTTACTTAGGGGAAAACTTTACCCCACAACTATCAAAGAACCCCACGGGTCTGAAGGAAACGCCCAGGTCCTTCATCCACCCTGCCAGCTCCCCTTACAGGCCACCACCATGTTGACGTAGCTCTCTTCTGTAGCTCTATTGATACAGACTATTGATACAGCTCTTGTTCCTCAATCCAAATTTTTTTTTTAAAAGGCTGACTCTCAGAACCTCTAAAGCACAGAGTCTTGCACGACCAACTTCCAAGCCACAGACCTTTCTAGTCAGACATGGGCCTGGGCTCCTAGAGGGGCGTGGACCGCACTTCCCAACTTCCCGGCCTGGCTCCCCTCCCACCCACCCCCTGCTAAAGAGGCGGCGAGGAGCGGGGAGAGGCAGGACAGCAGCAACCTCTGGAGGTCTGGGTATCTGGGAGCTGGCTCACACCCCTCTGCAATGCACCTGTCCTGGTCCTAGAGCGGGGACATCAGGCCTAGCTGCAGGGCAGCTAAGCAGGGCCCTTGCCAGGTCACAGAAATAAAGTGGCTGCTGCTTCTGGATGCCCTCCTTGAGTCCTGGCCACCAGGAGCCTGGAAGTCAGAGCTGGCATTGGGACATACTGGCCTCTGTGCCCGGTCTGCTGCTGAGCATGGCAAGGCTGGCACAAGGCCTCGGGATTCACGGAGGCAGTGAGAGCGTGGGTGGGTAGAGGTGGTGGTGCTATTTGATGTCCGCCCTGGCAGGTCCGTTTCAGCTTCCGCTGGGGGCTGGGCCTCTGAGTGCCCCTTGCACGGAGGAGAATAAAAGGGGGCAGAGGACACCCGAGGACCAGCCATCGCCTCGGAGCCCTGAGATGAAGGGTCTACAACATGGGCATGCCTTAGGGCGGTGGGCTTCCCTCACCCTGTCCGTGCTGTATCTCCCCCAGCCCCCAAAGCCCTGCACCATCTCAATAGGCAGTGGGTCCGGTAGGCGTGAGTCAGCTACGTTGGTTTGAGTTGTTGCTTCTACCTCAGCCTCTTCCTCTACACTCCGGGGTTCCAAGTGGCCCCCACGCCCATCTCAAACACAAAAGCCCCTGCGGTTGAGTTGCAGCAGCCCTGATGCACAGTTCTAGAGGCTACGACTCTTGACAGAAGGAGACACTTCTCGCCTGGCTCCCGAGGAGGTTTGAACTGCTGATCTTGTGGTTATCAGTCCAATCCCTAGCTCACAGATCCATCAGGGCTCCTCCC